GATTCTCCCATGCAATAGAGTTTTTGACTGTTGTGTGTTGCGTATTCCACTTCTTTGAGCTCTGACCATCCAGTGGTCACATTAGTTCGTACAAAATCCACATCGAATCGTTAAACAGATGCAGCATGAACCACCAGGAGATTAAGTAGTTGCGAAATGGAATGATGACTCGATGGAGCGATGTGATCATAAAGTATTCAGTGCAATACTTGCTCTGGAACGTCATTTCTGAACAGCATGCGATTGTTGCTTTCGTAAATAATTGCGTACGTTGAGTGCTGTTTGACTCGAGTCGTTTCACTCGTCCTGTCCAGATTGAATTGAAACTCAGTCAGTTCTGTTTTTCGAAGATTTTCATGGCGATGCGCCNCGATGCGCCCAGGGCGCACTGTATGTGGTAACAGGCAAACGAAAGCGACTAGAGTTCGGAATGCGCCTTGTCCGTTACCAGGTCGGGACTAGAGGTTACCAATCATCATTTCAAGCTAAATTCTGGAATTGCAGCATACCTTGAAATGATGTTATCATAACTACTGCAAGCTCATAATTCCATAATTAGATTTCTATGTTTGAATTCGAAGTTTCATGTAATTATCGCCGATTAGTGATTGTTTGATCATATTCTTGCATGGTTTGATCCCCAGCTTTTACCCCCCCCCCATATCAATTGAAGTGTTTTCATCTGCGTATTGTATTTGTGGCTTTTTGGCTAATCATATCACATCCTCAGCTAGTTGTTTATCCCTTTGTTACCTTAGAGCATCAGCTACGGAACGTTTTCTCAGTCCGGCCGGATTGCTTAGAGCATGTTATTAGTCAGTCAGCTGCTTCTCCGTGTAAACATACCCCATACGTATCGTCTAGTTCGCCTCTGATGGGTCACCGCACTTTCAGGGTCGCCTTCTCGAAGGCGGCAACTGATGCGATCACCTTCACAACCTACAGCACCTTACCGATGACAAGTGCAATGTCTTATAGACCAACGATAGGTGGCTTGAAAATGCCGCAGAAGAAGAACGCTCGAGTGGCTGAAAGCAACAAAAAACAGGTGAATGAGTATCGTCATTGAATGTTCGAATTGCATTCAATTAGCTGAGATCATAACAAAATGCAGTTGTGATTCTTAAATGATCCAGATTGCGATTTCTATAAGCACGACATGGGCTT